TATAAATATTCGGGGCCGCTTCCAATGCAGCAGGAGAATTTAGGGGAGGGGGGGGGCGTGCTGAGAGAATTCTCTTCCCTGGATCCTGGCTGTAATTGTAGGATGAAATAAAGGAATTTTTTTCCACTCCACACTTCTCCAAGCTAGCACTTATTATAGGAGCTTTTCCTATAAAAAGCGCCAGCTTGGAGAATGTGGAGTCTGGAGAATCCATCGCGCTATTCGGCTTAGGGGGACAATTCGCACCTTTGCTTATTTTGCTACTTCATGTTGAATTCATGTTAAATGTATTACTTTGATAAAACAGTTACATGTCTCACTGTGATAGACCTGTAGACTTTTGGCAAGTGTGAACAAAGCTCATAACTTGAATTTAGGGAATTCTACTATTTGCGAAGTAACGTTACGATTTTGTACACTGTTGCGTTTCAGGTTCATCACCGCCTACCGCCGTCGTAGATTCAATTCAAGAGAGTTTAGTGAAGCCAGATGTTAGCGATAATCAAGCCCCTCAAAATGTGGGAGGCTCGACTCCGATCCGCATCATGTCCACAATCACACCAACTCGCGAAACCACTCACCAACACCGACTCCCACCAGGAGTTCGAGTGGTTCGAGGGTCATCGGCTGGTGGAGCAACGTCTGCTATGCGCGTACAAAGTCATCAGGTACGCACAGTCCTTGGTACAGGAGCCTCCCATCCAGGACGCATGGTCGGATCTGCATCTACTTCACCCACCGCGTCAGGTGGGGTCCGTAACGCGCCCATCCGAACAGTAGTGGGTGCCGGTTCCGGCATGCGTGTAATGCAGCAAGGAGGACGAACCCTGATTGCGGTACCCAGCGGCTCCCGTCTGGCTGCTACGCTTTCATCTGTAGCTGCTCGAGCTGCTCCTGTTGAACTGTCGACATCCGGCAGCTCTGGTCCTGCTATCGCTGTTATTGATGTGGGTCGACCGAAATCCAGCTCGAAACTTGATGGAGTTTCCGACGAGACTATGGAAACATCCATGCATGGGGACTCCGACGACGTGCACAGTGGTAATGAGAGCGCCAGTGGTGTGGTTGAGGGTATCGAAAGCATTTCATCCGTAGATGGCTCAACCACGTCAAACTCACCTCAACCAAGTGGTTCCGTCACTGTTTCACCTGAGACAATGACAGACGATAAGCGCAAAGCTGTGGATGGACGTTTAACTTCAGCTGGCATGGTTACGAGAAGAATGACGCGTGGAGTAGTACCTTCTTCAGCGATGAGTTTTGCGACGGAAACGGCAAGAAGTTCAGCATGCAGCTCCTTCACGTCGAAGAGCAACAAAAAGGCCAAGTTCGTTTTTCTACTAATTTTTTGGCTATTTTCAAACAGTGTTTCTAACGCGTGTTTCCAGAATATTCCCTTGCTACTGGTGACTTGGTCCGGGCCCAGTATATTCTGCCCTCTGATCAGCTGCCTCGACGAGCATCATTTCCGCGCGAAGAGAATCCTCTTTCAATTCACTGAACAGGCTCGACTATCGCGGAGGCCGATCGTTGTTCACTCGGTTTGTTTTATTATTTCCTCCTTGGAATATATGCTTTTTTTAACACTCATACGAAGAATCAGGTATGAGTTACCATCTTTTTGAGGTACGAAATGTAGTCCAAGGCGAAAGTGGTCTAGTGCCAAGTGGCACACTAAGCACGCGCACAGTCCGGAAGCCAAATCCTGGATCGGCTCCCGTCCCGGCCAACAGAAACTTCCACCCACCAGGGACGGTAATTCAGTACCTAATTCGCCGAGGAGGCTAAGACACTCAGTTGTACATTGGCTAGCCCTCGCAAGTCATCGTATGGGCCATACCGCATTTAATGAGCCACTAGGATTGTGGAAGTAGAATGCATGTCGCATCCGAAAAAGAAGTGATGATTGACTGCAAAGGCTTTGACATTTACTTTAATGGAATCCAACCTATTTTTCCACCTTTTGAACCCGACCTTTTTTTCTTCTGGACGATTATTTTCAGTCTGGAGAAGAATTTCCGATACCATTATCGCTCGAAGGGCACCCAATGAAACTTGACGACGTGGCACCTGAAAACCCAAGGGAGGACATACTGAGAGGTTTGATGGACTGTTAAATTCTTAGATACCGAAGGGAAAATTGTATTTGCATTATTTCCTGTATTTATATGGAGTTGTTAATTTTCTCAGCATGTGCTCATCGTTTAATGTTGAATTTGTTTAGATGATGATGGTATCCCATATTGTTACCTTTGCCATTCGGTGCTTAAAACATGGCAAGGCTACGAATATCATATTATGGCTGTACATTTGAAGTGAGCCCGTATATCTAGTTTCTTTTGCTTTTTTCACTGGTTTCCTCATTTTTAATAATCATAGCCAGTCTTCTCTATAGAGTTGTTATGCTGATAGATTTAGTGGAAGGGCCGAGCATGGATTGTTCCGCGCTCACGTTCTGTGTTGCTTACCGGGTAACGAACAATGTTGGGCCACATTTCCACAAGATTTGCCCTAGTTCTTGTTGTTGAGGGAGAGGGGTGGGGGAGGGAGAAGTCCCACATTGTCGACTGGTCAACGTTACAGCTCCCTGGAGCCTCTGGATCCTTCTGGCGGATATTTCTCTAGCGGCAGTGTGCACCTTGCATGCTTTTCACCTTCTTTGCTCCCTGCGTGCTGAATCGACTACGATGTAATGGGCTGTAATAGCACTGGAGGAAGAACGCTTGTAGATG